AAGAGATGGTGAAAACAACATATAAAGGCTGACAATGTTGTTTTAAAAAATAGATGTGGACACACTGGCTGCTGGCTATGACACTGCTGATTATGGGACAGAAGTGAATATCAAGGTTTCAATGTCGACATGCTGAAACTCTATGGCTTTATTCTATTTTGTGGGGTATGATGAAAGAAATTCACGTTTTGCAGTCCACTCAGGAGTGAGGGGTGAGAACCTGACTGGAATGAGAGTCACCGTGATGGCAGGCATGGCAGTAAGGATCCGGTGGAAGAATCACACAGATCTGGAATGAAGCCTCAGATTACTAGCTCACCCTTCAGGTGACCCTGGGATATTTACTTATCCTCTTTGACCTTCAGTTTCCTCATCTGTCAAATGGAGACTGTAATGGTCTCCACCTATATGATTGTTATATGGATATGATTGTTATATTGGATATGATTGTTGCTGCTATTCTCTCCAACCAGTTCGACATTTTATTTTCTAAAAGGAAACAGAAGGTTTCTTAGTTTGTGATTTTCCTCTTCTCTAGAAGGCATCGTTGATACATTCTGAAGTACACAGAGATGACGTCTGGGAAGAAGTTGATGCACAATAGGAGAGGGTTTGGTTCTGTGTACACAAAAGATTAATGAAGATCACCAAGGCTGCCACATCACCTATGATTCCACATGTCCTTCCTTCTTCCGTGCTTACCTATCACAGAATTCACACTACGATTTTTGTGTTTGAAGGGAAAACATACATCATTTTCAGAATCAATGCTTGTACTTGTTGCTAGGATCATTTTTACGACATCCACCCCCATCACAGACTTTGTAAAGCTAAGAAATATTTCTCATGCACTGCAATAGTCAAAAGAGTGGTTTGATTTGAAAATCTCCCTGTCCAGGCAAGCCAAGGTAAATCTATCTCCTTATGAAGCTAACATAGTTTTGGGGACACAGCTGGTGCATGCTCAGGGGAATTCACAATTGCACACCAATGTAAATCTCATCTTGAAGTTCTTTCCTTCTGAATTCCTCAGGAAATTTTGCCCTATGACTTAACCTTCAGTTTTTCTCCCTCTTCTAGCCCAAAATGGATCTTGGTGTTTTTGACATCACTTCTAACTCTACTTTCCATACTTTGGATTCATAAAATGTAATCCTGCCTCCCTTCTCTTCCTTTCATCCTTTCCTTCTTCTCTCCTTCTTTCCCTTCCCTTCTCTTCTAACTTCCTTCCTTCACACCTTCCTTGTAATTTTTCAGTGTATTGCAAACTATCAGTATAGTCTGTGAAAAGATGAATTAAACCTCCGTGTACTGACTGCTCAGTTGAAGAAATACAATTTTACAAATAAAAATAAACTCCCTGTTTACTGTCTCCAATCCAGTTCCCCTCCTCCTCCCTACCAGAGGCATCCACTACACTGAATTTTGGTGTTAAATGGTTATTATGTATGACATTAAAATTTTACCAAATATCTATGTAACCATGCACAATATGGTAATGTTTTGAAGATTTTCAGACTTTTTATGCATACTTTTTTTTTTTTTTTTTGAGACGGAGTTTCACTCTTGTTACCCAGGCTGGAGTGCAATGGTGCGATCTCGGCTCACCGCAACCTCCGCCTCCAGGGTTCAGGCAATTCTCCTGCCTCAGCCTCCTGAGTAGCTGGGATTACAGGCACACGCCACCATGCCCAGCTAATTTTTTGTATTTTTAGTAGAGACGGGGTTTCACCTTGTTGACCAGGATGGTCTCGATCTCTTGACCTCGTGATCCACCCGCCTCGGCCTCCCAAAGTGCTGGGATTACAGGCTTGAGCCACCGCTCCCGGCCCTATATGCATACTTTCATACCATTTAAATCCTGCAACTTCCCTTTTCATCAACATTTTGTTTTTAAGAAAGAGCTTTCAATTTTTTGTTTGCTAAATGACATTTATAAGCTAGCACATGCTTCTATAATTTATAAGACGTGGCACTTCAATGCCTCAACTTAGAAATAATCTCACAACAAAGAACAATCCTTTGTTTGTTAAACTGCACACATTTATGTTTGTAGGAGGTACTACCTTGGTGTTGTTACTCTATCTAAACTTGGTGAATGTCATTCCACCCCAGAAACAGGGTACAGGCAAGCAATGCTCATGTGCAGCCCTGCTGACCTCTTTGGTGGCATCTCTGAGTCTGTGAATTCTTTCAGGAATCTGTGAGGAATCCTTATACCTTAGGGTCCTGACTTGGAGTTAACTTGAAAGGTATATTTTGTCTCTGCCCACATTTTGTCACCATGTACACATGTACCACAAACAGCTCCCTGACTGCTATAAGGGAATTAAAACTAAATAGTGTATTTGTTCATTTGCACACTGCTATAAAGAACTTCCCTGGACTGGGTAATTCATAAAGAACAGAGGTTTAATTGAGTCACAGTTCCACATGGCTGGGGAGACCTCAGGACACTTACCATCATGGAGAAAGGGGAAGCAGGTATATATTACATGGTGGCAGGCAAGAGAGAGAGATCGGGGAAATGTCAGATGTTTATAAAACCATTAGCTCTCATGGGAACTCACTCACTATCATGAAAACAGCATGGAAGGAACCGCCCCCATGATCCAATCACCTCCCATCTAGTCCCTCCCTCAACATGTGGGGATTACAATTTGAGATGAGATCTGGGTGGGGACATAGAGTCAAACCATATCAAATAGAAATTTTGCTGGTAAATGTTAGAACAAGAATCTTCCAGATGTATGAAGAAAAGGTTGAGACTCCATTTTCTTTTCATTTTCCTTTTTATTGCCTCGTCTTTTTAAACTCATCTCTTTCAAGTCAAACATCACAATTCACATTTCTAGTGCACCCTTGTTTCACCATTTTCTTTTTCCTTTTGATGTGCCTTTCTCTTTTCCATATACATTTCCCTGTTCTATTTCTATCTATGGGCAGTAGAATACAGTAATTAAAGAAACGCTCCAGACTGGCATCCACATTCAAATCCCCCTCCTGCCACTGGCCATTGGTATGATTTGTCAGATTATTTATCCTCTCTCTCTGCTCCAGTTTTTTCACCTATAAAATGTGATAATTTTACTACCTGCCTCAGGGATGACTATGAGAATACTATCAATCCCAAAACACCGGCACAGTGTCTGACACAGAGTCAATTCCCCAAAGCTATGAAAATCACCACCATCTTTTTCCTCTGTATTTTCCATTCCATTCAATCTCTTGTCATCTAATCCTCCACATGCATTTATTCACCTCGCCTCCTCTGACTTCTTTGATTTCAACACAGGTGTGCTCAGGCTCCCTTTTCTCTAATAGGATCCAGAAATGGGGCATAGTCCTGACAAGAAACAGCATCAGGTTGTATCCATATAGTTACAAACCCACCAACATGGATGATTAGAAAGAGATAGGTTTTGTGATTTGCTCAATCACTAAAGTATGCTCCTTGTCATTCCATTATGGTTGCACTCTGAGGATCGTGTATTGTTCCCCAAGGCACACAGAATAGCAGAGGCTGATTTGAATATTTAAAAAAAAAAAAAACTTCACGCCTGTAATCCCAGCACTTTGGGAGGCCAAGGTGGGTGGATCACCAGGTCAGGAATTTGAGAGCAGCCTGGCCAACATGGTGAAACCCCATCTCTACTAAAAATACAAAAATTAGCTGGGCATGATGGCAGGCACCTGTAATCCCAGCTACTCTGGAGGCTGAAGCAGGAGAATTGTTTGAACCTGGGAGGCAGAGATTGCAGTAAGCCAGGGAGAGACTCCATCTTAAAAAAAAAAAAAAGAAAAAGAAAAGAAAAAAGAAATCCTGAATAAGCCAAACCAGATGATTTCACATCAACACTAATCACCATCAATCAGACCTCAGTATACACACAACCCTCAACCCCCAGGTGGTCCTCAGAGGGGTCATCTTAACATCCTGCTAAGGTGAGAGAACTCTTGGGAGAAAGGAGGAGGAGTATGTGGGGGTGAAAGAAGGGGATTTCCTAAAGGCTAGGACTGCAGGCAGGTGCTTGAGTAAGGGTAACCAACTTAACAACGGGATCTACCTCGTCAAGCTCATCTTGGGTCAAGGTGTCTCTTCTGTCATCACCCCAGGGAAAAAAAAGATATCTGCTCTCTAGAGAAAAAGCCCTTTATTATAGCCTCCTAAACCCTCTCTGAGAGTGCACTCAGTACAAAATCATGAGGTCAGCTGTGCCTGGACCTGAATGCATTAAAAATAGAAATGTAAGCCAGACAAGTAAAATTTCCTAGTAAATCTATTTTAAAAGTATAAGGAAATAGATTAAATTTTCATATTTTATTTAACCTAACATATCCAACCTATATCATTCCAACACATCATCAACATTGTTAATGAGATATTTTATATTGTGGTGTTTTTTACTTTGAAATCTGGTGACCACTTTACACTCAGAGCACATCTGCATTTGCACCAGCCACATTTCAAGTGTTTAGCAACCACACATGGTAAGCGGCTACCGAATTGGACACTGCAGCTTTTGACCCAAAAGCTTTCTAAGGCATGAACCCGAACACGTGCCCCGTGCTACCCTGACCCATGTGAACAGCAGAAACAGCAAAATGCCTGTTGTTAGTATCAGAGGAAACACTCGCGTTACAGAGAAGCAGGCCTTCAGATACATCAAGGGTGCAGAAGGCTGGGGCTGGACTCAGGTGAGACTCTCTCCCCTGTAGTGGGTCTTCCCCCAGCTGAGTCACCCCTCTGTTAATATGGAGTGTGCTGCTTAGATGCAACAGCTCAGTGCCCTCCAAGCCAACTGGTGACTATAGTCATAAGAAACCATTCATTCTACTCGCACTGCTCTGACTTCATTTTCCTGAAGCGGTCCTTAAAAAGAGAACATTACAGGAGCAGCCTCTCTAGAAACAGGTGAAACAATTTCAAGGAGGAGACAGTATTAAATCCTTAAATGCTGCTGATAGAGGACTCCATGTTTGGGTCCCCTTCCACGAACAGTTCCGTTTGTGGAAGCTATCTTTCTTTCTCCTGGATTTCCCCCCTGGGGTCCCCTTCCACACTCTCTCGTGGAAGCCTGTCTTCCCCTCCTAAACTCCATCTCTCTCTCTCAATTCCCTTCCACTCAGTGTGGAAGCTGCTTTCCTCTCCTGGGTTCCATCCTTCTGGATTCTCTCACTCAGTGTGAGAGGAGCTTTCCTTCTCTGGTTTTCTCCCTCTGAGAACCCTTCTCACTCAGTGTGAGAGCGGCTTTTCTTTCCCTCACTCAGTGTGAGTTAGCTGTTTCTCTCTCCTTCTCCTTTTTCTCTCTCTAAATAAATCACTTTCTACAAAAAAAAAAAAAAATGCTTCTGATAGGTAAGAAGAACCAAGACCTGATCATTGCAGAGCTCAAAGAAAATCCCAACTGTGCCCCAGTGCAGCAAACACTGCCCATATTCAGTGCAGACTGAAGGAGAAATGCCCAGGTACTTGAGCTGCATTTTTAAAAAGAGAATGGGAACCAACCAAGTGTCAGGAGGCAGTCGACCTAAGAAAGACTGATGAAAGAGAATCAGGACAAGGTCTGCAGGGGCTCTGCATACCAGCCAAGGTACCATACCCGCTTAGGCCCCACTTACCTCTCAAGGCTCCCAGTCCCTGAACATGACGAGGAAACTGCTTCAGAGGAGCCACATAACACTCACCCTGTGGCCTGACCCTCATCACCACAGCCCCAAGAAGCAGGCTTATAGTGCCTGGTCCAGGTGAGCGCATGAGACTGGCAACAGCTGCTCCTGCAGATTTTACATCAGGTCTGAAGGAGCAAAGCCTGTGAGTGTTTTAAACTCTTTCTCTGCCCATATGCATTCAATGACTCTAATGGTCACCTCTGATTCATATCAGGGGCCCACAGTGACAACAGAATGGGCAAAGGTCCATCAAGGACAATGTGAAGAAAAGCCAAGGCACAACCAGACAGCTCCCCTGCCCTCCTGAGCCCGTGGCACCCAGTCCTCTGCCACATTAGGCTGCTGCCTCCTCATGTCCCCCAGGACAAACACTGTTTTCTGACTTTCGATTGCTCGATATTTCTCACCTGCTGTTGTTACTTTCTTTTGTTTCCTGGAATGGCTATTAATTTGTTCTTTAAACATTATTATTTCTGTCACTTCCTGGGTTTGGGTTTGGAGGAAGGTCAAAGGAAGGAGGAAGTAGTGGGCACTATTATTTATCTCACATATTGGCAGTAAAGATATACGGACCACAGGAGATCTGACATGAAATAGAGGTTAAAATACAAGGAAGAGATCTTACAGTGGAGGAGAGAAGCTGGACGTGATCTAAATTCCTCATCCTTCTCAATGATGATTCAGTAGATTTCTTCTCATGTTAGTATAATCACTAAGTAGGAGTACGAATTTAAATTTATGATGGACTAAAACAAATAATTATTTGCAAGGAGAGAGTAGAGCAATTCCCACTTAATACATTACTATGGGAATTTGGTTTCACCATATGAATTTTGAGGGGACACCAACATTCAGACCATAGCAGTGTCTATACTAGCTACCTCCAGTAATGATAAATAAGGCCTCCTCCTCCTCTCTGCCTCAGACATACAGACATCAACTATACATTTCATGTGTTTTAAATATTTGCAATCATTCTTTCCTTTTTGGTGCCTAAGTTGTCCCATATCTGACCACTGGGAGCCCCCTGGAGTTTCTTTTTAGACGCCCCAAGTGTAAGAGAACCTCAGCTTTTATACCACAATTATTGTAGCATTTGCACTTTCTCTGCCTTCTCAGTTATGAGCTAATTCAGTGCTTCCCACCCCTCCTTAGACTAGTTTGAGGTAGATTTCTATCACCTGTATAAAAGTCCTAGCTACTACAGAGGACTAAAGCCATCAAAGACTTTTATATAATTGTCAGGCAAAGCACAGTCGTCTCTCTGCTAAAGCAATCTACTTTTCTCCAGAACAAGAACGAACAACTACAAGATATTGGTTTCCAGTATCAAGTTGATGAGTTTTATCAATAAAGTAAAAAGAAAAAAAAAGACTAGAGTGACCAAGGTAACTTGTACTTGTCCTTGTACTCCTGACGGTGAAAAAAGGTACAACTCAAACCACTGGCAAGAAGTTTATAAAGCCAACCACAAGCTAGTGATACATATAGTTGATGCTAAATCAGAAGTAAGTCAGCAAAATGTCTATGTCAATTATGCTGTTATACAAACATACTGTCAGTAGCACATAATGTGAATGAAAAAGTATGTACTAGAACACATCTTGCTTTATAGTAGATGGAAATGATTTATATGCAGAGCGAGATTACGTTCTTGGCATCTGTGCAGCAGGCATAAGAGCCTGAAGCACTTGATGGCTTTTTGCATCTGGTTGTCATTGAAAACTCGTGCTGTACAGGAAGAACCGTTATACAAATTATTTTGTGATCCATGGTGTAGACTGGAAAAGAACATTGGGATTACTCCTATGAGAGCAGCAGCTATGTGTGCAGCAAGACTTGTCCCTGAATGCCAACTCACATGCTTCTTTATTAACAGAGAACTATTTTTAATCATATACCTCCTAATGTTGATTTAGTATGGAAGAAAATAGAGAATTCAAGTCATTAATGGATACTGAACAACTGAGACAATAGTCGACCCTTGAACAACAGGGGTTTGAACGGTGCTGGTCCGCCTATATCTGATTTTTTTCCAACCAAATGTGGATCAAACTATCGAAATACAGTATTTACAGAATGTTAAACCCATGTATAGAGAGGGCCAGCTTTTCATATACTCAGGTTTAGGGTTTGGGCATGAGTGAATTTTGATCTACATAGGTGTCCTGCAACCAATCCCCTGCATACACAGAGGGACAATTGTATTTCATTTCAGCAGGTTGGACAAAGAAATGACACACTCCTGATTTTCACATTTAAGTTTATTTGCCACAAAAGGGAAAGAACATAAATGAGGGTTTTTTAAAATTACTATTGTGGTAACAAAAAAACTGTTAAATTTATCCCCAACCATTTTTTCAGTGTACAGTACAGTAGTGTTAAGTATATTCACATTGTTGCAACAGATCTCTACAACATTTTTACCTGGCAGCACTGAAACTCTATACCACTAAACACTAACTCCCTGACCTACCAGCCCATGATAACCACCTTTCCACTTTCTGTTTCTATGATTTCGACTGCCATGGATACATCATAGGAGTGGAATCCTACAGTACTTATCCTTTGTCACTGGCTTCTTCCACTTAGCATAATGTCCTCAAGGTTCATCATGTGTGCATGTGACAGGATTTCCTTCCTTTACTAAGGTTGCATGGTTTTTCACGGTATGTATGTGCCATATTTTCATTATCCATTCACCTGTTGATAGACATTTGAGTTGATTCACCTTTTACCCACTGGAAATAATCCTGTGATGAACATGGGTATGCAAATATCTCCTTGAATTATTTGGAAATAATTCAATTTGCTTTGAATTCTTTTGAATATCTAGCCACAATAGGTTTGTTGGATTATCTGGCAATTCTACCTTTAATTTGTGAGGCACCTCCATTCTGTTTTCCATAATGGTTGCACTATTTGACATTCCCACTAACAGTACACAACAGCTCCAACTTCTTACATCCTCACTGACACCTGCTGTTTTGTGTTCTTTTGATAGTGGCCATCCTGATGGGTGTGAGGTGATGTCTCATTGTGATTTTGATTTGAAGTTCCCTAATAATTAGTGATATTGAGCATCTTTTGTGTGTTTATTGGCCATTTGTATATGTTTTGTGAAGAGCTATCTGTTCAACTTCTTTGCCCATTTTTAAATCTGTTTTTTTTAAATATATATTCTGGATATTAACAGCTTAGCAGATATACTATTTGCAATTATTTCCTCCTATTCTGTAGGTTGTCTTTTCATTCTGTTGATTGTTTCTATGGCTATGCAGAAGAGTCCCATTTGTTTATTTTGTTTTTAATTTTGTTGTCTGTGCATTTGCTATCAGAGCCAATAAGCTGCTGTCCTTAAGCTTTTCCTTTGTATTTTTTTCTAGAAGTTTAGTAGTTTTGGATCTTATATTTAGGTCTTTAATCCATTTTTTAGTTAATTTTTGTATATGCTATAAAGTAAGAGTCCAGCTTCATTCTTTTGCATGTGAATATACTCAGTTTTCCCAACACCATTTGTTAAAGAAAGTGTTCTTTCTTTCTCCATTGTATAGTTTTGGCACACTTCCTAAAAATCATGTAGCCAGATATGCCAGGGTTTATTTCTGGGCTTTTCATTCTGCTCCATTGGTCTACATATCTATCTTTGTGTCAGTACTACACCATTTGAATTATTGTTGCTTTGAAGTATGTCTTAAAATGAATGAGTGTGAGGTCTACAACTTTGTTCTTCTCTTCCAATATTATTTAGGCTACGCATCATCACTTGAAATTCCACATGAATTTTATGAGTTTTTTTCTAATTCTAAAAAAAAAAAAACCACTGGGTTTTGACAGAGATTGCACTGAATTTGTAGATTGCTTTAGATAGTATGACATTGAAAAATATTAGGTCTTTCAATCCACAAGCGTGGGATATTCTTTTCATTTTTTTGTGTTTTATTTCTTTTAGCAATGTTTTATACTTTTTGGTCTTTCATCTCTTTGATTAAGCATATTGCTAGCTATTTTATCCTTTTTGGTACCATAGGAAATGGGATTGTTTTCTTAATTTCCTTTTTGAATTGGTCATTGGTATAGAAATGCAACTAATTTTTGAGTGTTGGTTTTATGTCCTGAAACTTTGTTGAATCCATTTCCTAGCTGTAACAAGTTCTGTGCAGAATCTTTAAGATTTTCTAAACATAAGATCATGTCACCTGTGAACAGAGAGAATTTACTTCTGCTTTTCCAGGTATATGTCTTTTATCTCTTTTTTGTTTGTTTGTTTTAATTGCTCTGGCTGGAAATTTCAGTACTATGTTGAATAGCAGCCAGGATGGGCATCTTTGCTTTGTTCCTGATCTTAGAGGAAAATTAGTTGTTCCTAGTTGCATGTGGTGTTATCTGTGGGCTTTTCATATATGGCTTTTATTATGTTGAGATAGTTTCCCTCTATTCATAGTTTATTGAATTTTTTTATCATGAAAGGATGTTGAATTTTGTCCAATGCTTTGCTTGCATCAATTGAGATGATCATGTGGCTTTTGTTTCTCATTTTGTGAATGTGGCACATTATATTGATTGATTTTCATATGTTGAGCCATCATTGTTCAGGTATAATTGCCATTTGGTCATGGTATATGATGCTTTTAATGGGCTATTGAATTCAGTTTGCTATTATTCCTTATCTTTTAGGGTCTTTGCATCTATGCTTATCGGGGATATTGGCCTGTAATTTTCTTTTCTTGTCTTTGTCTTGGTATCAGGGTAATGCTTGCCTCACAGAATGAGTTTGGGAGAATTCCTTCTTATTATTTTTTGGGAGAGTTTGAGGACTGGTGTTAATTCTTCTTTAAATGTTTAATAGAATTCTCCACTGAAGCCATCTGGGCCTGGGCTTTTTATTGTTATTGTTATTATGGAAAGGTTTGTCCTCTCAGTTACAGGTCTGTTCAAATGTTTTATTTCTTTATGATTCAGTCTTCATAGGTTATATGTTTCTATAAATTTATCAATTTCTTCTAGGTTATACAATTTGTTAGTGTACAATTGTTCGTAGTAGTCTCTTGTAATCTTTTTTTTTATTTCTGTGGCATCCATTGTAATGTCTCATTGCCCATTTATAATTTTAATTATTTAAGTCTTCTCTCTTTTTCTTAGTCTAGCTATAAGTTTGTTACACTGATCTTTTTGAAGAACCAACTCTTAGTTTTATTGATCTTTTCTATGATTTATGGTTTACTTTATTTCCCTTATCTCTGCTTGAATCTTTATTATTCCCTTCCTTCTCCTGACTTTGGGCTTTGTTTGTTCTTCTTTTTCTAGTTTCTTGAAGTGCAGTGTTAGGTTGTTAATTTGTAAACTTTTTTTCATGTAGGCATTTATTGCTCTGAACTTTCCTGTTAGTGCCACTCTCACTGCATCCCATATGTTTGAATGTGTTGTGTCTTTGTTTTCACTTGTCTCCAGCTATTTCCTAAATCCCCTGGTGTGTTCTTCTTTGACCCATAGGCTGTTTAAGAGTTCAATGTTTAATTTCGAAATATTTATGGATTTTGCTATTTTCCTTCTGCTACTGATTTCTAGTTTTGTTTCATTCCATTGTGCATAAAAGGGTTTTTGAAAGAGGTCTGATAATACCAATAGAGAATGTTTCTACGATTTCAAATGGCTTGCTTAAGTCTTATATATTAGCAATATAGTCAATATCTGCAATAACCTGAAGCTATCACTTTAAGCCAAAACATTATGAAATATTTAGATACCAAGATTTCTTTAAAAAGTAAACAACAAGTAAATGGCTTAAAAGTCAGGAATTTTAGTGTAAGGTGTCAGGAAGGGGTCCAGATGGATTAAAGACTTAAATATAAGACCTAACACCATAAAAACCCTAGAAGAAAACCTAGGCAAAACAATGCAGGACATAGACATAGGCAAGGACTTCATGACTAAAACACCAAAAGCACTGGCAACAATAGCCAAAATAGACAAATGGGATCTAATTAAAAACTCCAGAGCTTCTGTACAGCAAAAGAAACAATTATTAGAATGAACCAGCAAGCAACAGAATGGGAAAAAATTTTGCAATCTACCCATCTGACAAAGGGCTAATATCCAGAATCTACAAAGAACTAAAACAGATTTACAAGAATGAAACAAACCCATCCAAAAGTAAGTGAAGGATATGAATAGACACTTTTCAAAAGAAGACAGTTATGTGGCAACAAACATATGAAAAAATGCTCATCATCACTGACTATTAGAGAAATGCAAATCAAAACCACATTGAGATACCACCTCACACCAGTTAGAATGGCAATGGTTAAAATATCTGGAGACAACAGATACTGGAGAGGATGTGGAGAAATAGGAACACTTTTACACTGTTGGTGGGAGTGTAAACTAGTTCAACCACTGTGGAAGACAGTGTGGTGATTCCTCAAGGACCTAGAAATAGAAATTCCATTTGACCCAGCAATCCCATTACTGGGTATATGTCCAGAGGATTATAAATTGTTCTATTATAAAGTCACATGCACACATATGTTCACTGCGGCACTGTTTACAATAGCAAAGACCTGGAACCAACCCAAATGCCTATCAACGATAGACTAGACAAGGAAAATATGGCACATATACACCATGGAATACTATGCAGCCATAAAAAATGATGAGTTCGTGTCCTTTGTAGGGACATGGATGAATCTGGAAACCATAAATCTCAGCAAACTGACACAAGAACAGAAAATCAAACACCGCATGTTCTCATTCATAGGCAGCTGTTGAACGATGAGAACACAGAGACAAAGGGAGGGGAGCAGCACAAACTGGGATCTGTTTGGGGGACCAAGGGAGGGACAATGGGGGGGGTCAGGAGGTTGGGGGGGACAACATGGGGAGCAATGCCAGATGTAGGTGACGGGGGATGGAGGCAGCAAGCCACATTGCCATGTGCGTACCTATGCAACAATACTGCATGATCTGCACATGTACCCCACAACCTAAAGAACAACAAATAAAAACGTCAGGGACTTGACATTTACCAACATTGGGTGATTTTTTCTTTTTACTCACCATAAAAAATTATAATTTATCATGGAATTTACTTTTAAACATACAACCAATTATAATGACAAAACATTAAAAAATATTCTCTAGAGAAAAATGCAAGCAAATATTATGCTATCTGTACAGTACCACTAGCTCCAAGTGGCTATTGAACACTTGAAATGTGAATAGTGCTACTGAGAAACTAATTTTTTAATTTAATTTAATTTAAATTTAAATAACCATATGCAACTGATGGCTATTGTGTTGTACAGTGCAATTCTAGAACAAGAGAAATAATAGACCCTCTTTCATAGGGGCTGATTTATCACATTTAAATTAAAGCATTCAATTTGTTGAGGTGAGAGATCGGGTAGAAGACACATTGCAGAATGAGTTGTAGAGTCACATAGACAATCTTCAGTGCATGTGAAGAGTGAAGTAAGAAAACTAGTAACTATATTATATCAGAACTAGGTTGAAGGAATTTGAGGTGGTCTTGGTGGGAAAATGATGATTCATTTAAGCAATTAACAGTGCAATGTTTGGAAGAATAATTAAATCCACTTTGAAAGTTTCCAAAAGGAGGAATTAGAATCAATAAGTAATTTGATACAAGGAAGAAATTTCTAACGTGCTAAGGAGTCTAGTGCTAAGCTGTATCACCCAGACTTTCTACTGGTGTTACAGCATTATAATTTCACTTTCTCTAACTAAGAAACACAGTCCTAACAGGGGAAGTATCCTTGATAACAATATTCCCTAATACACTCTTGAGACCTAGAGTATATTAATAGAAAGAGTGTGTATCTTTATAATAAGAGGAAGCTATAGAGACAAAATTTGTCATTTGAGGCTCTCTGGAAGGGGTCCCACATCATATTTTAGAATGTCCAGGAATCAGGGTTCTGGGGTCTGTACATTAATATAATGCTAACTTGGTTTTTCTCAATGAGCCCGTGGGTTTTGGATTGTGATCCATGATTTTTACTGGAATCTAGAGAACAACTGGTTACTAAATTCCAAACAGTTTTCCTAAGTAAGAAGACTGCTATTATGATCCCACTAAGTGTTCCTGTATACATGACATTTTCTCTAAACTTGAATCATTTCTCTAAACTTGAATCTATGCATTTCTGGGCTGTGCATGTTTTCAAATTATGGATGATGATCATTTGCTATTCAATCATCATGCTCAGCATTGGAGACATGCCTTTAAATTTGATTCCCTCTTCCCAGTAGCACTATTCACAGTAGCCAAAAGGGGGAAACAACCCAAATGTCAATCAACAAATGAAGGGATAAACAAAACATACATACAATGAAATATTATTCAGCCTTAAAAATAAAGGAAAATTCTGACAAATGCTACAACATAGATGAACCTTAAAAACATTAGGCTAAGTGAAATTAGCCAGACAGAAAAGGACAAATACTGCATGTTCTGACTTTTTTGAGCTACCTAATATAGTCAAATTCAGGCCAGAAAATACAATGGTGGTTGCCATAAGCCAAGGACAGGAGTGAATGGGGAGTTATTGCTTAATGGGTTCCAAGTTTCTTTTCGGAATGTTAAAAACGTGCCAGAGATGGATCATGATGATGGTTTCACAACACTGTAAATAACTTAATATCACTGAATTGTACACTTAAAAATTGTTTATAGCTGGGTGTTGTGGTGCACGCCAGTGATCCCAACTACATGGGAGGCTGAGTCAGAATTGCTTGAACCTGGGAGGTAGAGATTACAGTGAGCAGAGATCACGCCACTGCACTCCAGTCTTGGTGACAGAGTGAGACTGTCTTGAAAAATTAAAATAAAATAAGGCACAGTGGCTCACACCTGTAATCCCAGCACTGTGGGAGGCTGAGGCGGGCAGATCACCTGAGGTCAGAAGTTCAAGACCAGCCTGGCCAACATAGTGAAACATCTCTGCTAAAAATTACAAAAATTAGCCAGGCATGGTGGCAGGAGCTGGTAATCCCAGCTACTTAGGAGGCTGAGGCAGGAGAATCACTTGAACCTGGGAGGCAGAGGCTGCAGTGAGTCAAGATCCTGTCATTGCACTCCAGTGTGGGCAACAAGATTGAAACTCCATCTCAAAAATACAATATAATAAATAATAAAATGGCTTAAATGGTAAATTTTATGCTATATATATTTAACTACAATAAAACTTTTTCAAATTTAGTTTCCTCAGAACTTGTGTGGCATTAAGCTATCTTTGCTATCTATGTAAGATCATCTATTGAAAGTGGCTAGTGCTATTTTTATATTTTACCTCTAACATATGTAGTTTAAGAACATGCCAATCTGATTCTGAATCACGTAATCAGGTGGATGGGCGTTATTAGTGCAATATGCAATTGTCATGTCCCAGGCATCAATAATGCCCACATTAAGATTCACAAAAATATCCCTTATGATAAGATTCTGAATATAGCCATGAAAGTCACTAAACATCTCTGCATTTTGATGTAACTCTCTGGTGTTTTCAGTTTTAAGTATCACCTTGGTCTCTGGGCTTCGCAAGAATAGACGTTCAATGGCCTTTTGAATATTGATGGCCCTACGGATGAAAATGTTGATGGGAAAGGGTCTGAAGTGCTGGCCGAGGGTAATGACAATGGCCGTGTTTTTGTCTCCTGCTACCCGGTCAATTTCCCGCGGGATATAGTTTTCATCTTTCACTGAGAATAGCTTTTTGGTAACAAATGGATATCCATGTTTTTTCCACTGAATCAAAATATGTCTTTCAACATCCAGAAGAACATGTGTCTTAAAGATCCCAGCTCCATGATGATCAAAATATTTTAAGTCTGATGGAAGACAAATCAATAAATCTTTTAATAAAAGGAAAATAATATAACTTTAAACTGCACACAACATGTATAAAATTCTAACCAAGATCACTTCTAACTACAATTCATTGCTGCCTGTATAGGGTGGATAATTTTACCAGGTGCATTACAATCTTAACAAAATCTTGAAATTTTTATGAGAATATATAATGAGGAAGAAAAACATTAACACTTGGAAGTGAAAAGATAAAAATTAAATTTTTAATAAAAGCCTGAAGCCAAAAGTTTGGCAAATTAAATAAAATAATGAAATAAATATTAGAAAAGAAAAGCAAATAATTCTAATTATTATTTCAAAACCTTCAAAAGTAAAATATTATTTCAAAATACAAATTAAATACATACTTTTCACAGATTTTTGTAAGTAGTAAATCCACTGACGCAGTGTTGAATCTCCCATGAGATAAATAAATTTTCTTTCCAAGCAGTCATTTATGTTTTTTGTTTCATCGAACTTGATCTGTTTACAAAATGCTGTAATCCACATTTTTTTCAAAGTATAACCACTGGGGAAAGGAGGCTTCATTCCAATCTGGCAGCTCTTTTTTATGTTCTCGCTCTCTGGCAACACAAATTTCCAGAGTAAGTAACTTTTATTACCACAAATCATTTTGGAAACATGTTCCTCATTCTTGCCTTCGCTTTCCGCTTTTTCTTCTGCCTTTCTCTTCAGCTCCATTTTGCCCTCCTCTCTTCCACAAATATTTATTTAATAAGATCACGTTAAAGGATGAATTAAAAGTCGTCACTGAATAGTTTTCCTTGGAGTGGGGATCGGTTGACTTATGCATTTGCAATGTCTCCCCCGGCTCCACCTTGTCCCCAGAGCCACTCTGCTGTGGAACAGCCAGCCAGAGCCAGGAGGCAATGTGTGACCGTGAAATAGCAGGGCACAGTGGCCCCGACAAATATTACACCAATGACATTGGCCTCGCTGAACTGTAAATCTCATCTTCCTCAAACTACATATCCAGGAAAAGAAGCTTGAACGTGTTTATGAAATGAGTGTCACACATTGTTTATTTTGTGTGTCCCGGAATCATCTTCTCTGGCTAATCATTTTTTAACATCCTCAAATCTTAATTGTTGTGTCTAGAACTGAATGTAATATGCTCACTGTGAGTTGACCAACAGAAAAGAGTAGGATCGTGACCTCCCTCTTCGGAACACTCCTCTATTCAAATAGCCTAAACTGTATTTACTGACTCCTGTTGAGTTTTCCCCAGGCATGTTTCTGAGGCCACTTTTATATTCACCACTTAACATGCACATCTTCTTGGTCATCTACTTGCATTGTTGGGGTATGGCGTGTACATTTAGGAACTTACATTTATTCATATTGAATTACATCCGATTTGTAATTGGCTTCAAAAATTACAGTCTGGTACTATCTTCCAAGAAACACTCCTGGCTTTACTAGAAATTACTCTCCAGGCAAGAGGGAAACAAAAGAGGTGTTATGAGCATTCGAGTTGCCTCAAGAGTCTAAGAACTTTCTTCGGCATAAAAGTTGGATGTGAATGACAGTTGTCCTAGCAGAGAAGGGACCTGTCTTCTTCATAGATTGGGAGCTTTAAATCTGCGTTCATGATTTACTGGTATTTATGTTTTCCACAGGATCTAGCAAAGTTCTTTGTATACAGTAGGTCCTCAGTAAACATTTGCTGAATGCATAGAAAAGGGGTAATGAGTAAATGCATACCCCATTGATTGTTATAATGGAAGTCCTTTGCTTTACTTTAATTTTGAAATTCACTTTATTTCCAGTGTAGCAGAAACATCACATCTATGAATGAAATGGTTTTGTGTTGACAATTAAAATTCATGTTATTAAACTGAGAAAAAAATTCACAGAAATTTCTAGTTCATATAACTTTAAGTAAGATGGCTTGGCTAAATGAGAAATTAGAAACCACCGAAGAAATGTCCTAACTCTGAATCTGTGCAGCTCATCTGAGACATTTTTCACATAGCACCAGCACCTGATCATTGGCTCTGGAGGAATAAATCTCAAATTTAAACACAAATAGCCTGTACATTTTGAGAAGGTGCCACTGAAATTAATGCTTTCCCTAGCCTTTTATATCTGACTTGGGGTGAAAATTGGTTTAAATTAACATGAAAATAATTTTCAAGAATAAAATCCCTCTCTAAAACCCAAGGTGGTTGACATAATTTGTCCCAGGAAATGAGGGATCAAATGGTTAATGTGGAATAAGTATCTCTAAGTAAGCATGTCCTTTAAGTGAATTACCTGTGATCATGGCAGGCAACAACACTCCAGACTTACTGTTACACGGTACGACTTCAATGGGGGCAAAGTTCTTCATCATTTCAACTCCTATGTTGGACCTGCAAGAAATGGAAAAATAAATTAGCTTAATATCTACCCAGATAATAAAGTAAGAATCACTGGTTTAGACGGGTTAAACCACTCTTGTCCAAATGCCTTTTCCCCATTATTTTGATATATTTAAGATATCCTGGGGAAGTAAGTGGGTTAGGATTCTGGAAAGCTCTTCCTCCGCTAATGGCAGGTAATCTAGAGATCCAGAGAAAGTCACTCACCCTCCATATGCAATCTATCAAATCTATCAAATATCTATCTACCTATATATATCTTTATCTATCTATCTATCTGTCATCTATCTATCTACATATCCTTCTTTTAATTTTACCTTCTAAATGGCTCTACCACAAACCATCCTCTCCACCTTTTCCATCTGTAGTAACTCAGGCCCTCATCAACATGGTTCTAGGCCAGTGCTTCTCAAACGTCAGCGTTCATTAGAATTACCTGCAGTACTTATTACAACTCCAATTGCTGAGACTCACTCCCAGAATTTCTGATTTAATAGTTCTGGGGCAAATTCTCAAGAATTTGAACTTCTGTAATAAGCTCTTGGGCAAACCCAAAGTCAGTGGTTCAGGGACATTACTTTGAGAACACTGTCCTAGATTATCATAATACTATCATTCCGCCCTTTTGGTTTATCCCACCTAAATAGAACCTCCACGCTGCCTGTTTTATTTCCCCTATGTAAAATGTTTCCATGACTTTCTGTCATCAACCTACAGGAAGACCTCCCTAACTACCATAAAAACCTCCTATCCGATGAAGGATGAAGCTGTCTCCAACACCAGATTCATCTTCATGTACTCTTCACCTTCATGAGTTGCCAGGAGTCTATTCTTCATAGTCTGTTATCTCCCTCAGATAGGAATCAAGTCAATATTATTCACTATAATATTTCAAGTGCCCAGCACAGTGAGCTTCACCTCAAGGTATCAGTCCCAATGACTATGGTGACTATGTCTGGCCAAACTGAATTCATTCTATCAGAATGAAATCCATCTGGGGAAAGGTATGCCCTTTCAGAGCCAGAGCCACAGAAACCTTCAAGAGGGATAGAGAAAGTACTTTCTAAGATTGAGAAGAATTTCCTGAGTCTCAGGAAATGAGTTTTTAAGTCAAGTGAGGATAATATCCCCTTCATCAAGAAGGCCAGAGAACTGAAGAACTGAGCAGTCAGGGTGGCTAGACGTGATGGCTGTGTGGAGTGGTGGAGTCATGGGAGACAGTACTAGGGCCCACTGACTTTAGAATAAGGCCGACTGAGAATCCAGTTCTGACTCTGTAACTCAATTGGATATGTGACTTTGGCCAACCTATTTAATATGACTAAATTTCCTCATCTATGACATGAGCATAGTAACAGTCACTCCAGAGTCTCTTATGGAGGATTAATGGTATAATATAAAGGAGGCATCTAAATAAACGTTGACATATAGTAGGTGTTCAACAAATCATTGCAATTATTATTACTGAGGATCCCATCAGACCTATTTTTGGCACAAGACTAAGATTTGTCTCTAAGAAATTGGAGCCTGACCAAACCTCTATTCTCCCATACCAATCTCAGGTAAGGCTGAGGATAACAAAAGAGATCGAGACCTGGCTACCTTGTCAATTTGGTGACCAAAGAAAGCTTTGATGCTACATTAAAATTAGGATTAAAACTATGTATTAATGGTATAAAGAAATTCATTTTAATGTCTCCTGTTTTTGTAATTGTGTATGTGCATTAAATTTTAAAAATGGGTCTATAATTAATTAGTCCACAATAGTAACTAACAGAATTGTGAACAACTGTGTTACCTATGTGATGTCTTCTCCTATGATAACCCCTCATTTATTTTTTTATCATGATTATCCATAAAACTCTTAAAAAGAAAAGGAATTTTTTTTAGTTTGAAGAAATAAATATCTTAAGAAGTAACATTTCTGATTCTGCAGCCAGGGTTGGGAGAGAGAACCGAAGTGGTAAAACGTATTTCCAGTCATCCCTCAGTATACGCGGGAGATTGGTTCTCAATGTCAGGCATTGTGCTAGGCCCGTGAGACAAAATACTGGCCCTCGATGACTTCCTGATAGACACAGACGACTTCTAAGGCCCTGCCTACCTATCTCATCTTCTCTGTTTCTCACTTCCTGCATTCCAGCCTCACTGCACTCCACCCCCACCATGGTTCCTGGAACATTCCAACATGCTCTTGCCTCAGGTCCTATTCCTTCTCTTGAGAATGATATTTCCTGAAAATTCACATAGCTTACTCCCTCATTTCACTCAGGTTGCTGCTCAAAACAGGCCTTACCTGATCAGCATTTTAAAATATCATCAGTCATCACATTTGAAAACCTTTCTCATGACTTTCTGTTACAAATCTGTTTATTTACTTTTTGTCCTTCTAGCCCACTGGAATGTTAATTCCCAAGACCTAGTGCTGTGTCTGGAATATAGAAGGTACTGACTAATAAATTAAAAGAATGGGCTGGGCATGAAGCTCATGCCTAAAATCCCAGCATTTTGGGAGGCTGAGGTGGGCAGATCACCTGAGGTCAGGAGTTCAAGACTACCCTTGTCAACATGGTGAAACCTCATCTCTACTAAAGATACAAAAGTTAGCCAGGCATGTTGACAGGTGCCTGTGATCCCAGCTACTTGAGATGCTGAGGCAGGAGAATTGCTGGTACCCAGGAGGTGGAGGTTGCAGTGAGCTGAGATCGTGCCACTGCACTCCAGCTTGGGTGACAAAGCGAGACTTAATCTCAAAAACAAAAAAAATGAATGGTGAAAAGTAGTTAACACTTAATGCTCTGCAGAACTTACAACTTAACAGAGGATATTACACAGAAATTGGAAAATTAACAATGTAATAAGAATTATGTTGGGAAAGAACAAAATGCTAAGGAAGAATACAAGACTAGCACTTCACCCAGGGATGTGGGGTGTTTCCTGGAGGAAATGATGTCCATACCAAAGCCTGTGAAATGCCACAGGTGAGAGGACATGGTCCATTAGTGAAATAAAAGGAGTTCCACTGACCAATAGAGAGCAAAGCTGTATGAAGGTGAGACAAGAGGCTGCCGAAGGAGGAAAGTCCTTGTAAACATATTAAAGAGTTTCAATTTCACCATTGGGATCATCTTACAGCTTTTAAGTAGGAAATAGCAAAAGACATAACTACATTTCAAAAACATTAGTCTAGGTGCAGTGTGGAGAATGGATCTGAAGAAACAAGACCGAGGGCAGAGAAATCAGTTCTAGAGATTGTTGCAGTGATGTGAGGTGCGATGACAGCTTAGGCAAGGATAGAGGCAATAGTGGTAGACAGAAAGGGCTGGGTTCAAGACTTAGCTGGGAGGTATAATAAACAGAACTTAATAATTCACTGGATGTAAGGGGTAAAGCTGAACTGAACAGTGATATCATTCACCACTTTTTTATTGCATAGCATCGATTAATACTCGATAGGATTTGTATTCCATGGAATACATTATAGAAAATACAGATCTATAAAAAATTACTGAACCTGGAAGTATTGCAAACCATGGAGAACTATAGGTCTATATTAAGTGCTTATACTCCTGTCCGCAAATAGTTCTAGAGGTGACTTGTATGGGTCCCTGTGAACACACTACAAGCTGAACTGACTCAGAGGACCTAATTATAATTTAGTCAACATAATTGACATAATACAAAAAGTTGATTAGGCAAAACTACTAGGCAGAGTCTGGTTGGATACCTCTTTTTATCTATTATTGTATTAGAAAGCTTCTTTACCTGTGGAAAAGGCTCCATTCTTCCTTGCTAAGATAGGAAATATTTCTTGTCCTAGAAGTCATGTGGGTCAGAGCTTCACAGGGCATATATTGAGGCCTCACACAGTAGAAGGCTTCTTGGTCTCTGTCATCCATGTACTGGCACAGTTCAGCATTTGTGTTTAGGCTCAGGCCACATTCAGTGAAGACACTGGAGGTTCTGTTGGCAAATAGGCCAATAAAGATGACCCTATCACAGCCTTGGTTCCTTGCCTGCCAGAGAGCTGATGTCCCTTCACTGGGGTGGATGAGCAGCAGAGACAAGGAGACCTGTCCCTCCCAGAACAGAGTGAAGCTGATCAGGTAGGTGCCGTTGTTGAAGTCAGTCACCTTTCCCGAAGCACCTGCCATCAGAGTTGGGGAGGACATCCTGGCCCTCAGGAAATCTCCGCCATATTGCTTCCTGTGTCCCAAGTGGTCCCTCATCTCCAGCAGGATGTCCAGCTGGTCCCCCCTGCAGTATGTGTCTCGAGGGTTGAGGATGGTGGCTGTGCTGTGTGCGGCACTGGTGGTGGTGTTCACGTGGGTGAAAGGTCTGGGTGGGATCTGCTGGTCTAGTTTCTCCATGATTTCCTTTATTCCCAGTTCAGTCTTTTTTGGTGAAACTGTTGGACACAATGGTGCTTCAGAGCGTGACAATTTTTTGAAGACGTTCCCTTGGTTCACAGTAATATGGTTTTCCAAGCTAAACAAGAACTGAAATATTGAAAGGGAAAATAATACATTATCAGCAAATAATAGGGCTTGCTTTTCAATATAAATTATTATGGCTTATTTTACATCTTTTGGTGTGATAAATTAAATATCAAAAATCAATACTAATTGTTTTTTGGTTATGGAATCATCACAATTGGTTTCAAATCATCGAAATTGGTTTCCTTGTAGTGTGACTTCCTCTCCTGCCAGGAGATGGCTTCCTTTAGGAGTCACTGGCTTAAAAATTAACTAGATATAATCAATACATATTATTTCATGGTTCAATTTTAGAGTTTTTCCTTCTGCTATCCCCTCACTTGACTTTTCTTTCTTTTTTTTTTTTTTTTTGAGACAGAGTTTTGCTCTTGTTACCCAGGCTGGAGTGCAATGGCACGATCTCGGCTCACCACAACCTCCGCCTCCTGGGTTCAGTCAATTCTCCTGCCTCAGCCTCCTGAGTAGCTGGGATTACAGGCACACGCCACCATGCCCAGCTAATTTTTTGTATTTTTAGTGGAGATGTGGTTTCACCGTGTTGACCAGGATGGTCTCGATCTCTTGACCTCGTGATCCACCCGCCTCGGCCTCCCAAAGGGCTGGGATTACAGGTGTGAGCCACTGCACCTGGCTGGACTTTTCTTTTTAAAAATCATATTATCATTTTCTGTATCAACAAGGCAGACAACAGAGGACAATGTGGTAGATGTTTCAGGTGCACTGGGAAAGAATGTATATTCCACTGTTGTTGGAGGAAGTGTTTTATGAATGTCAATCAGATTTAGTTGAAGGGTTGTGTTCTCCAGTTCTTCTATATTTTTGCTGACCATATTAGTTTCATGGGGCTGACATCACAAATCATCACAAATTTAGTGACCTGAAACAACATAAATTTATTCTCTTATAGTTCTGGAGGACAGAAGTCTGAGATCAAGGTGTCAACAGGGTGGGTTCCTTACAGAGGCTTTGAGGAAGAATATATTCTACACGTTTCTCCTAACTTCTAGTGGTTTCCAGTAATCCTTGGTGTTCCTTGGCTTGCAGATATTTGACTTCAATCTCTGCCTCCATTTTTATGTAACCTTCCCCTCTGAGTTTATTTTCCCCTCTTCTTCTCTTAAAAGGATTTAGGATCCCCCTTAATCCACGATGATCACATCTTGAGCCCTTTAACTCATTTACATCATAAAAGAGTCTTTTTCTAAATATAGTGGCACTTCCTTATCCTTGGTTTTAGTTACCCATGGTCAAACATGGTCCAAAAATAGATGAGTACAGTACAATAAAATATTTTAAGAGAGAGAAAGAGACAGAGAGAGAAACTGCATTTATATAACTTTTATTACAGTATGTTGTTACAATTGTTCTATTTTAGTTATTTCTGTTAATCTCTTACTGTGCCTAATTTATAAATTAAACTTTATCATAGGTATATATGTATAAGAAAAAACAGTATTTACACCATATAGGGTTTGGTACTATCTGCGGTTTCAGGCATGCACTGGGGTCTTGGAGCACATATTCGGCAGATTTAAGGAGGACCACTGTAAGTCATATTCAGGGGTTTCATGTAGACACATTTTTAGGGGGCATCATTCAACCCACTAAACTGACTTTCTCTTTACATATTTTATCAGTTACTCAGAACAATGTTAATGTTGTTGACTATGATTCTTAATTTTCCTTTCTTTTTATTTATAATTGTTTTTCTTCAAATATTTTGCAGCTCTGCTATCAGATGTACACACATGTATTGGTTGTTATGTATTTTGGGTGAATCGTCACCTTTATCATTACATAACGATCTCCTTTGTTCTCGGTAATTTTCCTGGTTCTGAAACCTACTTTGTCTGATATTAATAAATTCATACAATCATCATTTTGTTTAGGATGTGCATGGTATATCTATTTTTGTCATTTTATTTTTAATATACCTATATCTTTATATTTAAGGTGGATGCTAGCTTATGGCTGATTTCTTTTCTTTTATTTATATGGAGTCTCACTCTGTCACCTAGGCTGAATTGCAGTGGCATGATCAGGGTTCACTGGATCCTTGACCTCCCAGGCTTAGGTGATCCACCCATCTCAGCCTCCCAGGTAGTGTGAGCCACCAGCACCTGGCTATTTTTTGTGTCTTTTGTACAGTTGGGGTTTCGCCATGTTGTCCAGGAAGGTCTTAAACTCCTGAGTTCAAGCAATCTGCCAGCCTCAGCCTCCCAAAGTGATAGGATTACTGACATGAGCCACTGTGCCCAGCTTGATTTCTTCTTTTTTATACATTCCGACAGTCACTGTTTTATCATTGATGTGTTTGGACTATTTATATTTAGTGTTCTTATTAATATGCTTTGATTTAAGTCTACCATTTTAATAATTGTTTGCTCTTTGTTCTCTCTTTTTTTTAGTTCTGATGCCACCATTTTTAAATGTCTCAGAACTCTCTGTTTTCCTTAACAAGGAGAACAAGGGGAACTATGTTACCCGGGCCTAACCAAACTGAGTTTTACCAAAACTTGATCAACTGGGGTAAGGAAAATACCCAAACCCAGCTCCCCTCTGGCTTTCTTATTTCACCTACGGATTGATGTGGGTATAGGAAAGCAGGAAGCTGACAAACACTTATGAAGGTCACAATCTTAGGGCACGAGCTCACTAAAATACTGAGACGAAATCACAGTACTACAGAATGCTTCCCCTCCTGTACATCTTACAACCAATTCAATAGGAATCCTGTATAGAAAAAGAGGATTATATTGAAAAGCACTGCAAGCCTCAGACTCTATTTAAAATGGGGTCCCTAGAAACACCCAAGGATGAAGTCTCTAGGAGAAACATAAACATGGGCACTGGAAAAAATTGTAGCCTCTGATGCAATATCTACAGTAAACAGTAAACACAGTCTAACTCCTAACCACATAAACATAAAAGCTCAGCTCCAGTGTACCAACTACATCATGTCCAGATTTCAATAAAAATTACAAGGCACACAAAAGAAAAATAAGTGCCATCTAAAGGGACAATGCAAGCACTGGAAACAAACTTAGTTACAGTTGAAATTTTGAAATTATCAGGCCAGGGATTTAAAATAACTATGAGTGAGGCATTAATACTCAGGGCTCTAACAAAAAATATACACAACAAGAGAAACAGATGGGTAATGTATGTAGAGACATGACAACTCTAAGAAACAATCAAAAGGAAATGCTAGAAATCAAAATCACTGAATCAGAATAAAGAACACCTGTGATGAGCTCAGGAACAGACGGAACGTGGTCATGTAAAAAATAAGAGCGCTTGAGAGTATGTCAACAGAAACGTCCCAAACTAAAAACAAGAGAAAAGGCATGCAAAAAAGAACAGAATATCCAAGAACTGTGGGACAAATACAACAGGTATACATACACATAATGGGGAATACCAAAAGGAGAATAAAGAGAAAGGAACAGAAAAAACACTTCAAGAAATAATGACTGAAAATTTTCCAAAATTATAACAGATACCAACCCATAGATCAGGAAGTTCAGAGGGCACCAAGCAGGAAAAATACCAATCTACATCTAGGCATGTCATATCAAATTTCAGAAAAATCAAAGACAAAGCATAAAATTATGATAGAAGCCGGACAGGAAAGAAAACTTTACTTATTGAAGAACAAGGATAAGATATTGGTATCTTCTTCTCCAAAATCTGTGAATAGGTTAAGTTACATGGCAAAAGGGAACTAAGATTGAAGGTGTAAATTCTGCTTGCTAATTAGCTGACCTTGAGATGGGAAGATTATCTTAAATTATACAGGTGAGTCAAATGTAATTACAAGAGTCTTTAAAAGTAGAAGACGGTGGCAGAAAAGGAAGAACCAAAGAGACAGCCGTGTGAAAAAGATTTAGCACAGTGTTGCTCCATGTTGTTTTGAAGATGGAGGAGCCAAGAAACAGATTCTCTCCTAGAGCTTCCAGAAGAAAATGCAGCCCTGCTAATACCTTGATTTTAGCCCAGTGAGATCCATGTTGGAATTCTGGCTTCCAGAAGTCTAACATAATAAATTTGCATTGTTTAGGCCACTAAATTTGTGGTAATTTGTTATATCTGCAATAAAAAACTAATATAGTTATAATAACAGTTTTTAAGTCTTCGATAATTTCAGCATTTACGTTACCTCAGGGTTTTGCCTGATTTCTATTTTCTTCTTACAGGTTGTGGTTTTCCAGGTTCTTCATTCTCTAAATATTTAGAGAATTAAAAATAAAGATTTAATTCTTTAAATCATATCCTAGATATTTTAAATATTATGCTATGAGATTCTGAGTCTCGTTTAAACTCTATTGATAATTTGGATTTTATTTTTAAAACAAGCATGTGATTTAGTCAGGTTAAGGCTGCAAGTTTCAGTACACCTTTCGTGGGCTTTGGTTACAGGTCTGTTCAGTTCTCAAAGACTTCACTGTATAATCTGAATCTGTTTTATGTGTGTGAAATCCGGTGGACAGTCTGAGACATGGGCAGTGGTCCACTCTGTAATTAAATTCCCAAAGCCTTTCATAGGCTATTTAGAGTAACATTGACACATACTAAACTCAGAGTTTAGCCCAGGAGTTCATTAACCACTTCGTGGGATAGCTCTTTTGAGCTTCATCTTTTCCACAGTCTCCCTAACACTTCCCCATTCTCTGAGGTGTCCATTATTGGTCCTCCAGCCAGAAATATGGGGCAGGAAGAAGGTTTCCCATCTTGAAGGTGAACTCTAATATCCTTCCCTAGGTTATCTGTAGCAGCTGGAACCAGGCAGGAATATTTTTAAAAGGCCCAACAAAGGCAAAGTGTGCACCACACGGAGTTCTAAACTCTTGAAGAAAATAGTGTTTGCATAAGATTCAGTGTATAATGAGGTCTTTAAACTTCAACAGAAGTATAGCAAAGAGAAAACAATTAACCTTTTTATTTTGAGATAATTGTAGATTCACATGCAGTTGTCAGAAATAGTAAAGAAGTTGGAGGGATCA